CGCACACAGTAGTTGGACTGAGTCAGCATACGCTGGAGAAGGTGTTGATGTGATCTACCTTGATTTTTCGAAGGCTTTCGATCGTCTAGACCATCGGGTACTACTCTCCAAGCTCCAGCATTACGGGATCGGCGACCCACTTTTAAGCTGGATTGCCAACTTTCTACTTCAACGGCAATTAGTGGTCAGAGTTCGGAGCTCTTTGTCGGACCCCATACATGTCGAGTGTGGTGTGCCGCAAGGCTCAGTTCTAGGTCCACGTTTGCTTTTGTGTTTATTAATGACCTTGCACAGGGAATCGTTTCAAAGTTCCTAATGTTTGCTGACGATATCAAGGTTTGGCGCAAGATCCAGGCGAACGCCGACCAGCGTCTGTTTCAGTGAGATATGTATACGGTATCTCAGTGGTCAATCCAAAACGTAATGCATTTCAACGTCAGTAAATGCAAGGTACTTTCCATCCGACATCAGAGAAGCTACTCATCACGGCTCGGAACGAATATACTACAGCAATCAACTCTCGAACGTGACATGGGTGTCTTGGTTCAAGATGACTTGGGTTTCTTCAGGCAATCCGAAAAGGCCTCGAAGACTGGGAACCAACACGTCGGGCTGTTGAAACGGCAATTTGGATAAATAAACAGCTCCATATTTCGACAAATGCTCAGTGCGTATGTTCGTTCCCATGTCGAATATGCAATTCAAGCCTGGCATCCGTGGCTGAAACACGACCTTAATGCACTGAAGCAGCCACATCGTCGGGCATCTAAGAACGTAATCGGAATACGCAACCTTTCATACCAGGAGAGGCTGCAACGATTAGGGGTATTCAGTGGAAGCTATCGCAGACTACGAGGTGACCTGATTCTGCGAGACCCACATCATGTGTGCCGCCCATTACTGCAACTCAGCACCAACACAACCCCGAGAGCCCACTTATTGGAACTCGCTGTACACTATGGCCGCCTGGAGTGAGGCCGAATTTTCTTTTCTATTGGCGTGTCACGCGTGGAATGCTCTCCCAGAATCGGTCGTCTCTGCACCTTCACTAACAGTATTTAGAAGACGATTAGATGATACACGCATCCACTTACACTTTGTCACTTAGCACTACTTCTTTATCCTACACCTTGGGTTTTCATGGATTTATTTGATGTTGTGGGTGCTGTGAATCTAAGCGGACTGCAGGACTACGGTGGAGCAAACGATAAGTCCTTATTTCATAGTTATATTACTAACTGTTTTACTATCACTATTATAATTATTGTTGTTTCGATATCCTCCCCAACTATCCAACGGACTAGTAAAGCCACGCTTCTTAAGCAGTATAAATTCATCGTTCTTTTGTCACAGGAACAGCAGCTTCGCAGTATTGCTGCAGATACATGAGGCTCTACTATGACTACAATTTTCACTCATACATCAAAATCAATGAAGTCTGGCAACCTAATATCATGAAAAGTACGCACACTGATTAAGCAACTCAAGGGAAACCCCAAACCTTATGAGGGAATTGAAACCCTGACGTTAAAAAATTGGTGATTAACGCGCGACATCTCCAATATATGCGAGGAAATGAATCCGAGTTTTGCCTCCTTTGTCCTTGTGCCTCAACGGTCTCACCCCCTTCCCAAGAAGAACAAACAATTCCGTGAAGCTTCTTCGCAGTTAGATAGAAAGCCACCACACATCTAGGGAAGCGCTAGACGGTCGTTCCGTTCTATTGGGACTCGTCGGTAGCGCGCAGCATCCGAATCCTGCCGGATTCGAACCCACGACCTTACTCTTGCGAGCCAGTGACTTATGCCACTGAGCCAATGGCGACGGCGGCGTACCGCCATGTGTTATACCTAACTGCGATATAACTTGGCTTATCCTCCAGTCATCATGTCAAGAACGTGCAGAGGATAGGGCTGGCCTCCAGAGCCACGACTTCCTTTGCAAACCACCACCAATCGAGTTAGCATGAAAGCTACTAAGGCGACTACCGATTAGTCGCAATTAGTAGGGGTATTTATTGGGCATTCTGTGAAGATTCTTCGCAGTTAGACCGAGGGAGACAGCCACCACACATCCAAGTAACAAACAAGTTAATCTGCAATATTCCCGTGACATTGAGATGTGCAGGATGCCATCGCGCCCATTATATTATTAACCCGTTCAGTCCCAAACAGCATCCCCTCAGCTTCATAATGCTCGGTGGAAAAAATATATCTGTTTTTACTAAACATCTTCACCCTTTCGCTAACTACTGGCTGCTTCCCAGCTCAGTGGAAGAAATCTATAATAATGCTTAGACAGGAAGATGGTTCGCGAAATGAAATGTCAAGGTACCACCAGATAAACCATATATTTGCTGCTTGTAAAGTCCTAGAACGAATATTCAAAAACGGTGTTCAGTTTCTCACATGACTGGACCAGACCAATCCCTTACAACATGGCTTTCTTTACAAGCGATCCTGTCAGCTACAATTCTTCGACAGTGTTACCGCTATCATTGACAAAGGAATGACAATCATAATTTCCTTGGAAACGCAAAAGGCATTCGACCGCGGTGTCTTCCAGGGAAGTGTGATGAAACCAGTACTTTTCTTAATCTATATAAACAACCTATGAGACCCCATCAAACACGAACGCAAAGTTCTGTTTGCAGATGACGTTAAACTAATCTACTCCCTTCAACCAGACCAACTTCAACTGTGGCTGAGAAGCATACGTGAAGACATACTCACGATGAATATCTATAGTGAAGGTTTGTTAATGAGATTCTTCGCAAGTATTTGGATACAGATGCCGCATCCCGGAAGGCTCCATCACCCAGCCAGTAACGTGATCCGAAACTCTGATTCAGTTCGAAACTTGGGAATTAGGTATTCCAATTCCCTTAATTTTTCTGAACATATACATTACCAAGTTGCAGAAGCCAGGCAACTATCCGGCTACATCCCTAGACGTTTCTCCCTATTTAAAACACGAGGAGTTATTCCAAAATAATCGCGAGAATTACTCTGGAGTATTGCAGTATAATTCGCAGCCAATTAAGAAAGAAAGACAGAAGAGCGCCGGAAAATGTCCAACAAGCGTTTAGCAAGCTGGTCATGATGCGCTGCTCAAACCTGAGTAATTATGTCCGTTGTCGCCACCTCCGAATGGATCCCGTTCGGCTGAGACGATTGAAGAACAATCTGTTTCCCCTCTTCAACAATATAAACAACCGGATTTTCACAGAGTACCGCCCTCGAGCTATGGAAAACTGCCATCTGTCTCATCCATAATGGAGGCTAATTGTTACCCTCACAGTTTGACAGTCATAAAATCAGATCGAATTTCCTTTTAGTGAGATGTACCAAGCTGTGAGACCGACTACCACTACAAGCACGCACGAGTGATAACCATGCCACATTCCGAAATACTCTGGATACTTTCCTCACTATCTCGAATGTGTTAGACACTTTGTCCACAACAATCGCCAAACACATAGGTGGAAGCTGGTCTAAGCAAGATAGGAGCAGCCAAGAGTCAGGTTACCCATGAAATTAAACACGTACTTGTACAGACTACTCTACCTTATTTTAATTTTGTTCCCGAGTTCCGCTACCCGGAAAAGTTGAAAACAGGAGTACATATATTCGTACGTTTTGTATTTTGAGTGATCGGGTTAACAATCCGAGGGGAAATTCCTCATCAGAAAGTTAATTTTGCATCTGTTAAATTTATTATTACGTTTGTCTCGTAAACTATGACTACTTCTGTATACAAATGATTGCTTCCGCTTACGGGTAGTATACTACTTGACCGTAAATATACACATTTAAAAAAGCAGAAGTGCGCTGGGCGTCCAACTGATTCCGTATTAGTTGGGTTCATCAATTTTCAGAGCTTAATAGGCTTCCTCTTCCGGTAAGTTTGCTCTGAATCTACCAAATGCTTTATCTATCGTGGGAAATTTGTTTATTCAATAACGGAGCATACGCGGGAACACGCAGGACTTTAAAGATAATGGGAGTCTGTTCTAGATGGCTGCATACCTAATTAGGAAAAAATGCGCGAATTTTAGTGCGTGACTTTGGTTCTGGCTAGGTGAATTCCTTCTTTCGCACTTCTTAACGGGAAGTGTGTTGCAAGCAAAGAAAATAACTGGGTTCATGCGCTCGTCGATGTGTCATGCCATAAAGGAATGATTTTAAGCGTTCTTAGTCAAATGGGATCAAGTTTCAGCGTTTTGGGTAAGTCTCCGAGTGAAACCCAGAATCAATCTTGTAAATGTGCGTTGAACGTGCTCCAGAACCAATGCATCGCACTGTGTGTTACAGTAACTCAGAGAACAGTACTTTAGCATTAGGCATGAACAATATAGGCCTCTAGCATTTGTTGAATCGATCAGTCATTAATCGAATCAAAGAAGGAAACACAGCCCATCGAGCTAACTCCCACCGTGTGACAGCACAGCCAATAACATGGACAGAACCGTTAGGACTCGGATTTCCAGATAAAAGGAAGATGCGCAAAAAAGTGTGCACATTGGAAAAAAGACGATAATAAGAAATGAATCCATATTAATGTTTTTCGAACTCAATCAAATCTACGAGAAGCTGTGCACCGGAGGCACCTGTCACACTGCTGTATGTAAGCATATCAATTCTACAAGCTCGAAAATGTCCAGTCGCTTTCCTATCAGTGCAATCGTTCGATCTGATAATTATCTGAGAAACTCGGAGGTAAGGTAAGTAAGTGTAATATTCGAGCGCGATCAATGGCACATCGAAATTGAAGAAGTTTGAGACGAGTTTGCAGAACCTGTGTGGAAGCCAAGTTTCTCAGTATGAACCTACAGAGGTAGTGTTTAGATAGGGACCCGTGGAACAGTGCAAATACAGAGTGTGAAGTTCTAACGATTGAGACAGAGTGACAGCTTTCCGAGAAAATTCAAGATGTAATTCGGGTTTTAGATTCTTAAACAGGGTATACAGAATAAGAACCAATGTACGTGGTAAACTTACACTCTGGTTCCGTTAGGATACGGGAGATTTGTTTAACAATGGAGTCCAGGAGTTCGTCATGCGAATAATTCTCATCATCATTAGTCACCAAATGGTCCCAATCGGCCACCATGTCCAGTCCACATTCAGTGGTTGCATTATCAATAGATTCGGTAAATCCCCAACCACGTTTCACTCTCACGGATTCTGAAGCACAAATGCGGAGTAACAAGCAGCGAGATCGGCCCCATAGGCCGAAGAAAAAACTCAAATCACTTGGCCTTCGAGCATCCGCGACAATAACGACGGATGGAAGCATGGGAGTTGAGGACATAGCCATTTCCAGTGACTGGCGTGCGAATATATGGGGATCATCGAGCATTTGATTCTCAGCCCAAGACACCATTTCTTTACGATATGTTTCCTTGTAAGGCCCACCGGAGAGCAATTCGTCTAAACTCAAATCAAGGGTCTTCGCAAAGTGTGACTTGATGGGTAAGCTCAAGTGCACAACTACGTTTGAAAGGCCGTTAAGAGTCAACTTCTTCGCAAGCAAGTGCACAAAATAATCCTTTCCACATTTACGCTTTCCTGATATTATAATGCAAGCTGGAGAGTGTGGAAAACACAGGTAAACATACCAGCTTTTTGACAATCATGACTCATCGAAGGAATTTTGAATACTGAAGACAGAAGGAAAGTTAACGTAAACACCAAAACGAAGTGTGCTGGAGCCATATATTGGAATAAAAATGCGTATACGAAGTCCTCGTTTTTTGTTCATCTCAGAATCATAAAGTCCAGGCCACGATTTTCATATACGGATCATTTTGCTTTTGCCTAACAAACACTAAGGTGTAATAAACGCCACGTTTTACAATTATTAATTGCAGCAAGCCGACTAAGTCGTTATTCAGTGTACGCTGCATGAGGTTTGAAACGGTGTGTATAAACAACGGCGAAAATCTGTCGAAAAACCTGGGATGACTCGTGCCAACAGGCTATGCAAGCGAACTCGCAAGGATTCTACTAGCAAGAATGGAAAGCGTATCAGCTTATTCAGAAAAAGTGCGACAGCCTAAATAATCCTACAGCGATTGAATTGAAACACTTATGGAAACATTAACAACCATTGGCTGCAACCACTATAAAACTACACGTGGATGTTGTTCAGTGAGTTATGGAAAGATGGCAAATGATCAATATAAGGTACTACCGAGTTAATGAACAATGGTAATATGAATTTGGAATGCCGTGATTATTCACTTTGGTGGGGCAGCATGTTTCCTAAACGCCGAAAGAAAACCAAGCACAATAAAATAAACAAGGTCAGTGGAGCTGTACAGCGAAACTGTGTCCCCTGCTAAAGTAATAAGCAAATACTACGGGATGCTCATAAAATGACCATATAAATAAAATATTCACCAATATCATGTTTTAAAGTGGCAGGATGATATGGCGTATGAGCATAAGAGCACCAACTGTTGTGATTCAAACCATCGCTGGGATACCCAACGGCACTATGAGTGCTAACTGAAGAGTGCGGATTAATTACGGATAAAAGATGAACAATTCATTGTGTATAACCCCACTAGATCGGCTGACTAGGACGAACCTGGTAAAGATTCCTTAGGTGGCAGATTGGAAAACATGCTGATCTGTCACCGCTCAAGTAATTTCCGAATAACAATGTGAACATGTTCGCGAAACTAACTTGTTCGGATTGCAACAGGGGAATTCTTCCGTTGCGCACGCGGAAACATAAGCGGCTACTGTTCCATGTTACAATCATACCACTTACCCGCTCGGTTCAAAACAGGTAACCGGCCACATGTGCTGGATCTTGTGCTTACCAAAGTGCAACATTTCATTAATGTGTTGGTTTTAGACTGCACATTGGGTCGCAGTGATCAGTTTCAACTTCGTCTGCTATGCGGAATATCGGAATGTGAACGATGAGACTGTGCGAACCATCACAAGCTACGATCGATTAGCCCAGCTCGTCAGCGCTACAACTTGGTTGTTCCTTGCCGAAGAACCCCCGGAAGTCGCCTGACTCGAGTTTGCCAACAAATTCAGTCAGCTCATTGCAGAGGCTTCAGAAATAAGAGTTTGCAATAAGTGTACACCAGTTTATTTCGTTAGGAGTAGAACTCGAAAATGGATGACAGTACGCAACGCAGCATGGTAAGTGTACAGAGAAGCTCCAGCACTAGAAACTTGGGACAACTACGTAGCCCAACGTAACCACTGCAGTCAACTGCTACGAGAAGACAAAACCGCCTATCAGCAGAACATCGAAAAAACCTTCAGCGCTAACCACAAACTCCTGTGCAAGCACATCAATAGCCTACGAAAGGTGAGGCCACGATTTCTTACACTTAAGATGGCTGATGGCCCAACAAGAACGGTTGTAGAAGTAGAAAAAGCGCAGCGGATGCAATAGGCCACCAAGTTTCAGAAGGTCTTGCCACCAAGCGATCTTCCAACCTTTGTCGTCTCCTCGCCAGGAATAACCGATATCACTTTTAGCGCAGAGGCTGTATTGCAAAAGCTGACGTCTCTACGCAAACACAACTCACTGGGTGTCGACACTATTTGTCCAGAGGCACTGGAAGCAGCAGCAAACCAACTGGTAGGACCACTAGCTCAGTGTTTCCAGCGCTGCTTAAACCAGAATCAAGTTCCCGCTATGTGGAAGTTTGGAATAATAACCCGATTCACAGAGGTGGAAGAAGAACTGATCCGTCCAACTACCGCCCAGTATCCCTTCGATACTCTCCAAGGTCCTGAAATCCATAGTTGCCGATGCAATGGTGTGTTATCTGGAAAACTGTAACACCAGCATGCATAAACAGTGCGATTCCCGTTGACAGCGGTCATGCACAATGAATTTATTAATCGCACACAGTAGTTGGACCGACTCAGCATACGCTGGAGAAGGTGTTGATGTGATCTACCTTGATTTTTCGAAGGCTTTCGATCGTCTAGACCATCGGGATCGGCGACCCACTTTTAAGCTGGATTGCCAACTTTCTACTTCAACGGCAATTAGTGGTCAGAGTTCGGAGCTCTTTATCGGACCCCAGACAAGTCGAGTGTGGTGTGCCGCAAGGCTCAGTTCTAGGTCCACGCTTGTTTTTGTTGTTTATTAATGACCTTGCACAGGGAATCGCTTCAAATTTCCTAATGTTTGCCGACGATATCAAGATTTGGCGCAAGATCCAGGCGAACGCCGACAAGCATCTGTTTCAGTGAGATATGGATATGGTATCTCAGTGGTAAACCCAAAACTCAATGCATTTCAACGTCAGTAAATGCAAGGTACTTTCCATCCGGCTCGGAACGAATGAACTGCAACAATCAACTCTCGAACGTGTTTTGAGTGTCCTGGTTCAAGATTATTTGGGTTTCTTCAGGCAATCCGAAAAGGCCTCAAAGACTGGGAACCAACACGTCGGGCTGTTGCGACGGGCATTTGGATAAATAAACAGCTCCATATTTCGACAAATGCTCAGTGCGTATGTTCGTTCCCATATCGAATACGCAATTCAAGCCTGGCATCCATGGCAGAAACACGACCTTAATGCACTGAAGCAGCCACGTCGGGTATCTAAGAACGTAATCGGAATGCGCAATCTTTCATACCAGGAGAGGCTGCAACGACTGGGGGTATTTAGTGGAAGCTATCGCAGACTACAAGGCGGCCTGATTATGGCGTACTTGATTCTGCGAGACCCACATCATGTGTGCCGCCCATTACCGCAACTCACACCAACACAACCGTGAGGGGCCACTTAGTAGAACCCGCTGTACACTATAGCTGCCTGGAGTGCCGCATAAATTTCTTTTCCATTCGTGTCTGTCATCCGTGAAATTTGTTCTCAGAATCGGTCGTCTCTGCATCTTCACTAACAGTATTTAGAAGACGATTAGATGATACACGCATCCACTTACACTTTGTCACTCAGTACTACGTCTTTATTTTACACCTGCTCGTCAGTTGCAGGAGAAACGCAGAGAACGACACCAGCAGTTGTACCCGCTTTTAGTTGATTTCAATGAGGCATTTAATACGGTGAACCGCGAGACATTGTGGCTGGTGTTGAGTAAGTATGGTTGTCAGCATAAGTTTAATTGTATGCCTGCACAGTGGTATGCAGGCGAGGGTGCAGCTGAGTGGAGAGACCTCGGATGACTTTGCAGTAATCTCTGTTGTGAAGCAAGGCTGTATGTTGGCTCCTGCCCTGTGTAATATTTATCTTCATACAGTGAGGTCTCGTGTGTTTGATGCGGCTTGTACTTACGGTGTTCATGTGGAGCACCGTATTGATGGTGGGTTGCTGAACATCCGTCGTTTCGGTGCCAGAACCCTAGTCTGTGAGACAACTATCCGTATGTTGATGTTTGCTGACGACTGTGCGTTGTTTTCACACAGCGCGGATGAGTTGCAGCACATGACTAGTGCTCTGGCTTCGACAGCGGCCAAATTCGGGCTCACCATCAACACAAGCAAAACTGTCTCTTTCAGCCTTCATCGGAGGTGCAATCTTCAATATTGCCGCAAATCAGCATTGGTGTTGAAGTATTAGAAACCACCTCCCGCTTCTGCAACCTTGGGAGTGTGATGTTGACTGACCAGCAGGTACACAGTGAGCATCATATCCGCGTCTCGAAGGCAGAGGCGGCATTCGAGTACCGAGTGTGGAACAACCATCAGGTTACCGTTGGCACGAAGCTGATGGTGTACTAATCCTTGGTGCTGTTCGTTCTTCTATACGGTAGTGAAACGTGGACAATGTACCGGCGGGATGTGCGATATCTCGAGCGGTTCCATTAACAGTGTTTGCGACGGATTCTGCGCATTGGCTGGTGCGACTGAGTTGCAGATAGGGAAGTATTGCGTCGAAATGGAATGTATACAGTGGACTGCATACTTCTGCTGACACCTGAGGTGACTCGGTCATGTGAGTCCTATGGATTCGACGAGGATACCGAAGCGGCTATTATATGGCCAGTTGAGTGTGGGGAAGGGGTATGCAGGGAAAGCGAAGCTTCGTGACCAGGACCTGATCAAAGTGAGCTTCTGTCACAATTTAGCAGTTGCGGAACTTACACACAGTGATTGGCTCTTAGCCGAAGTATCACAAAGCAAAACACGTCAGGCACATGGAAGCAAAAACTGTATTCTAACCGGCATGTTATACAACGCATTGATGTACTATTCTAAACGAGGCAAATCGATAAATGGGTGAGCGGGTTACTGACACACGCCAGCGGATGCAGGCAACGAATGTGATGATACCACATTCCTTCTCCCTTTAGTTTGGACCACTCCAGCTAGCTGGGTATCGGTCGACGGGTCGGGGTAGCTGGGTTGAACGGGTACATTGCTGAGCCTTCGGTTGCCCAGAGTTTGCGCGTTTGTAAACTCAGGTTGCTGGTTTGAGGACGCGTCATCTGGTGGAGTCGAAACGGAACGACGACGGATATGATCCCAATGCCGAATAACTAATCTGCCATCAGGTAAAGCCACTTCCGTATGTTGTCTCAGAATTTCGCGCAATTCTCCAGGCTGCCAGGTGGTTTCGTCGGGCAACTTGACGTAGACCGGTTCACTATCGAAAAATCTTCGATCGGAAGCCTTCTGGTCGTACTGTGTCTTAGAGTTATCTTGCTTAGCCTCGACACGTATCCTCTGGTTGGGAAACAGAAGATCCAGCGGTGTCCTCAACCTC